GGACTATCAAATAAAGAAGAGTTAAAAGCATGTGTCCTAGATTTGTTGCCTCTTCAACAACAAGATATCAAGTCCTTGACAGTACAAGGGACGATCAGTAAATTCAAGTCTACCTTTTACTGCGCTCTTCCTGAAAATAATTTGGACAAATTCATAGAAGCATACAACAACAAAACCAATGGACTTTAAACCTTGCTGTATCTAAGAAACTCACAGCCAAAAGTGGCTATGAACTCAATATGACATTCCGGTGTCACCACAATACAAGGTATAATGCGACAGAAGACTCAGTCCGTGTATTGAGTGAAAAACCAGCAAAGAGGTTCAAGAACACATGTTGCCCGTTCAAAATGACAGTAATAACCCATTGAGTCGCATTGCACCCTGATGCACCCTACTTTAGTATTTTACTCTGTCTAACGCCAGATGATTTTACTCGTCAAGGGGAGAGCGCTGGCGCTTAATGGTTTAACTGGCCTTAATGGGTTAATCAAACAAACTGCTCATGCATCCCCTTAATACTTTGGTATTTTACTCTGTCTAATGTCAGACGATTTTACTCTTCAAGTAGAGAATGCTGCCACTCAATTGGTTAAAGTGACAAAGTAGGATGCATTGTGGTATAAAGGAATAAGTGATCATCAATTGGTCTCAAAGGATTGTACTAAGGCCACCCTGACAGGCTGTATTCTCAATTTACTGCTACTGTAATTAAATGTTTGACATGTATAATAGTTTTGTTTGTGGAAACACCACGTAAATTTATTGCAAAGCTTTCGATCCGTAAGCTCGGATCATCACTGATGAAGATCCCGGCTTACGGATCGAAAGCTTTGCAATAATAAATTTATGTGGTGTTTCCACAAACACAACTATTATATATTTTATCGCCATTTTTATCGAACTTTTAAAAATGTTTGTAGTTGAAGATATCCAGTTGATGGTCTACCACTTGACTAATTATTTGTTTTCTACCTTTAGGTGACCGATCTAAATGTCCAAGAAGGGGTGATTTTTACAACCTCTACACCGAGTTTTGTAAATCACATTTTGGAGCAAAAAATGGAGAAGCTATGCTGGCTGCTCTAGATGAAAAGCTTCCAAAGCTTATGGAGTCATACCCAGAAATGTCGATGAAAAAGCAAGACTATGATGAAGAAAAAAATGCTCCATTCATTCTTGCCATTGTTACTCCTTTAATGAAAAGGGTGCACTTAATGGTAAGCCTCGTTCAGATGGAGTAACATTGTAACAAAATGCACAAGTGGTATAATACTAATTTGTGCTGTTACAGCAATGAAACTCGTGTAATTTGGGATCCCCCCCCCCCCTAGCAGGAACGTTTGTTCAGATAATATTTGTTTTTGATGGAGCCAGTTGATGTAATATAATCATTATAATGTACTTAGGATTGGTAGCCACACTCTTTAAAAATTAGTATACCAAAAACAAAATTACTTTAATTAACAAACTTTTTTTATTGGGGCGGGGGGCTGCTGTCTGTATAATAGTAGAAAGAAAAAAACAATGTCATTATGACAGCCAAAATTAATGTTTATCATTATGGTTTTATTTAGATGAAGCAGTCATCTGAGCTTGCGTTCATCGACTCGTCCTCAAACATGGAAGAGCTGAATTTGCGAGTGTTTCTAGTTTGCACTCATTCTGTTGCTGGTGCCCTGCCACTTGGAATCCTAATCGTGAGTGATGAAAGAACAGCAACCCTTGTAGAAGGTTTCACGCTTTTAAAGAACTGTATGGGTGAAAATGCATTCATTGGTCGCCAAAGCCTTGGGCCCATGGTGATAATAACTGCTCCGAGTTGAGAGATGCACTAAAGATAGTGTGGCTAGAGAGTCAACTTCTATTGTGCATTTTTCACCTTATGCAACAAGTATGGAGGTGGCTGTACGAGAAGAAAAACAGCATTCATGCAGATCATCGACCAGAAATTTTATCACTGATGAAGTCCATCATTTATGCAGAGATGGAAGACATTTCAGAAAGGACTGATGATATGTTAGAACACAGTCTTTTTGAGAAGTACCCCAATGCTGCCAAGTACTTTGAAGATGTGCTTGACCTTAAAGAATCGTGGGCTTTAGCCTATCGAAGTGGCCTTCCTGTCAGAGGTAACAACACCAACAATTATGTCGAAGCCCAGTTTCTTGTCATCAAAGATGAAATTCTGAATCGAGTAAAGGAATTCAATGTTGTTGGACTAGTAGACAAATTAACAATTAATTTGGAGGAACATTAGATGACAAAGCTGCTTTCCATTGCTATAAATTGTATAAATTATGGCGTAATATTTCAAATATTAAATTAATTAAACCCTAACCAATATTAAATAGTTTGACCCTATTCCTGATGAGTGATGAATTTGCTAATGAAAACATCCAGCATATGCTTTTGGATTTCGGTGTGGATCATATATTGACAGCGAATACAATTGATGATGGATATTGGTTTTCAGATGAGTCTGAAGGTATTGTTATTTGTATGTATTTTATAAATTTTTGCTGAGTATGATGCCTGTTTGTATCTAGTTGTGCAAGGTTGTTTAAATGTGCAAACTGTAGTTTAATATTTTTCAATTTTCATCTAAATATTGTTTGTGTGTTGTTCAAATACAGATGATGATGACAAGGTGATGACAAGTTAAGTGATGAGGAGGAAGAAATCACCCAGGCTGTACCATTCAAGTGCATCTGTGCTGCTCATGAGAACCACTACCCTACCAACCAACATCATTTGGAAAAGGCATCCCTCCTCTTCATGAAAAAGATAAACCAGTGAATACGGCCAGAGCCATTGAATCCAAGGGACCCAAGTGCAATAGCAATTGATCTAGACTATGGAACTGGATGGCCCCATGTTGGTTATATATTGCTGCTGAACTATGCAAGTATGTCCGCACCCATTAATTGCTGCAAGAGATGTCGTGGATGTCTATGTTCAGCATATCGAGTATAGGGTTGACTTTTTTAAAATAGTATTTTATCAAAAAAATTTTGTAGAGACATGGTTAGCGCATGGGAGACTCAAGTGGTAGGAAAAGCATGAGTGTATGTTGACAGATGTTTTTTATATAAATAATAGCAACTAACTATGTTTAGCAAGTTATTGAAGTGCATTCATTTCAATTGGCTAACTTTTTAGATTTTTCCCAGCATTTTTTAAACAAACCACAGGTTATAAATGATAACTTTCTATTTCTAATTAAAACAATCTGTCATGTACACTCATGCAAAATTATAGGTGCATAACTGTAAAAATGTGCTTTAGTAAATAAATGAGTAATTCAGAATTAAATCAGATTAAAATTAATGCAACAATAAAACAAGATGTCCATTTATATAATGCACAAGTCAATTCCTGGAGTAACCATCCCCCCCAGGAATTTGCCTGATAGACAGTTCATGGGGGTTGGGAATTTTCCTGTCATAACGTGCACAGGGGCCAGGTATTGTTATAGTCGCTGAGGACCCCAGGGATTTGACAAATGGTTTCACTTTTGCGAAACTTATTACCTGTGCCATGCGAATAAAGTTTTATAACGTTGCATGGCAGTTTAATAGTATGTTATTAAATGACTATGCCCATGCATTCATCGTCCCCGGGGTGGGGCATTTTCCACTCTCAGCTTGCCCAAGGGCCGTGCATTAGTCTCCTAGTTGTGTCCCGGCACACTTCTTTTACTTTGCACTATCGTATAACCAGTCAAATAAATGCCCGAGGGTGTTCCCCGGGGAGAGGGGGACGGTTACTCCTGGAATTGACTCGTGCATAATATTTATTAAATTTCAATAAATTGACCACAATAACATGCCTATGAATATGATAATTATAATTTGATATACAGTATGATGTACATGATAATACAATAAAAACTTGTTTTATTGTTTTAAAACAAGTGGAGCTCTCTTCTAGTTTAAAATGGGCTGTTATAACACTGAGTTATCCATGCTGAGGATTCTGCAGCTCGATTTGCAACAAAAACATCAGGATCAGCTCGTATGGGAATATATGTATACGATCCAGTCGCGTCGGCCAATGACAGAAAAAAACTTTGAAAATCGCACAGATATAAATTCTATAAAAATATGGAAACAATTCCTAAGTCTTCTAAATAATATTTTAACACTTTAACAAAAATTCATTGAAAATATAATCTTTGATGGCGCAAATTCTTTCCAAGGTATTAGACGCCATTTTAGCGAGCGTCGAGTCGACAATAGTCGCTTCAATGGTCAATATCTCGGAAACTGCCGGGAGATCACCGAGGTCATTCCAGCAGATTTAAAGCTTATATGTTTTTCTTGACGACTGCCAAAAATGAGGAAAATCGAACCATTTAATATTAATGTTTTTTCTCGATTTATTTTCCGTCGAATACAAAATTTTCTGCCCAAATTCTGCAGAAAACACGATGGAAAATACAGCGATTTCATTGGTCGAGAGCTCACGTGACAACTCGCTAATTGCTTGTCCAACCTCCTCTGTGCTTGTTATAAAAATCTCAAAATTTGAAATCAACAAGAAATTAAAGGCAGCACGTTGCCATGGGACTGACATGACGTAACCTTTTTTGCCGCCCGCCGCGTAGGCCTGCGTAATGTGAGCGGGCTGGGATCAAGCAGGAATGCTTTCGATTGCTTGGGATGCTTTCGATTGCTTACGGAAAAAAAATGTGCGTCGCCGTCGCGTTGAGAGTTTAGAGTGCTCCCGTTGACGGGCACTAGTCTGTAGTCTTACATGCATACAATAGACCTTTTTAAAAAATCTGCCTTGTGACGTAGTTTGCGCATAAAGGAAAACCCCGCACAGTCATTTGGCTTGCCTGATTGGCCAAATGATCGTATTTATCCGCAAACTACGTCATAGGCAGACTTTAAGGTATATTAGACAACGTTCATGCTACGCCGGAGCGGTTTGAAAACGGCTCGAAAAAGTCACAAGTAGCCGTCGCGTATCAAACCGAGATTGTTTGAGTCACTTTTGCCGTAACAATATGACCACGGCTTCAAAAGTTTAGAAAGATTTTCAAGATATTTTAGTGATGATTATTGCAACATTTTAGCACCGACAACAAAATCATAACATTACGGTCATTACCGCTATAGTCTAGCGAGTTTAATACATAGTTAAAGTATCGTTGACAATACATTGTGCCGTTTGTGCGCCCAAACCTACTTGGCGGCCATTTTAATGGCATAATAATAGATGTTTCGGTTTTCAATCCATAATATACTACCATCCTATGGTTATACTTGCTCATTTTAACTTTTCATACTAAAGGTGGACCAAAGAAATGTTTATAATCGTCATTTGTTGCTTTTTGTCACTTCCGAAGGCAAGATGTAAACAAATGCATTGTGGTTGACAATTACTCTTTTGTGGTTGACAATGACCCGTTTAACACCCTGGTAAATCCACATTTTCCCTGGAATTCTAAACATATCTCAATGCAAATATAGGTATACAGTATACTGTACGCAGAGGAAATGAAAAATACCTTTGTTTCACATTTTACTTTTGGAGCATCATGAGGATAACCTTGTCCAACCTGTGAAATTTACAAGAAAAGATGGAGTGTTTATAAAAACGTCTTCAACATGCATGGAGAGAGGAAATTAATAGTTTAATAAATAACTCAAAGTTTGGAAACGAGTCATTTTCTGATGAACATACAGCGTTAAATGTACACGATTTTATGTGTATCATACTCTTTTCACCAGGGATGGATTTACATGTATAGGGGGTGCACAGGGGTGCGCACCCCTGTTGGCCTTGGTCAACAGGGGTGCAAGGGGGGGTGCAAAAAAATCAAATTCAGAAATATGGCATAATTTCCAAGGTGAGAACTTTTTTGAAGTCAAACAAGCTCATAATTCAATTCCCATATCGCAGCAAATGGCATTTCTAGGGTTCTAATTTTCAAAATTTCCCCTGGACCCCTAGGGAGCTCGCGCCTTCGGTGCTCGAGCCGATAGGAAGCCAATTCATTTGAATGCTCTCGGCTCTCCCATGCACCACCCCCAAACGAACGATAAAGAAACACTCGGCGGCTCACCCAGCACCCCCCCCTCTAGAAAAACCTTGCTGGATCCACCCTTGGTATACACTCAAAAACACCTTGGTTAAACATCTCCTGGTTAATCCAAAATTAACACTGTTTGGAGTAACTAAATATCCCTGGCCAAATTTCTCGCGGTTAATTTAATCGCAGTCCTGGTTAACTTGATCACTGTTGTGGTTATTTTTTTACAAGTTTGCTATTATTAAAGATATTTACTATAAATTATACACAATGGCTGGAATGACCACACAGAGAAAAATTTCCAACAACGGGGGAATAATAATTTAACCATGCAGGATACCTGCACATGGACGAATGCTTGAATTAACAAGATTATGTTAGGTGGATTATAATTAAACCAGGAATTCCTGCTCATTAGTGTGGGAGGACTTAATATTCTTCGTTTGATGTTATTACGACATGGATCTATATATGATTGCTCCTTGATTGTCTGATTTCAAACTAGAATTTTGACACTGTTTAAAGAACAATTATGATGACACGATAAATTATTTTGATCGCCTGGAACATTCGAAGATTTTATACAATGCTTATATACATTACCTTAAAGCTGAAATCAAAATGTCCATTTCTATAAAATCCCTGTAACAAAAACGAAAGTATTATACCTATACTGTCTAAACTTCATCTAGGAATAATAATTTCAATTATCAGAATTATGATCTATAACACGTTATATGGTCTGGAAATTCTACGAAAGTCTTTGTTCTATCTTTCTGCCATGCTCATTTTAGCAAAACCGAAGAATCTTCCACTTGCGCGAAAAAAGTGCCTTGTTTTCGTGTGAAAACATTCGGGAATTTGACTATTTTCCTATATCGAGATTTGCGGGCATCTCACTCAAGACAAGTATAACATGCAGTTGAAGTGTTTTTGTACTTGCAAATTTCGAGCGGAAGATTATATATAATATTTTAAGTCGAACCAGGAACAGCTCCTGGTTAGGTCTAGAAAATCGTATATAATCTTTCAACTACATTTCTATAATTCTATGCCTCATGCCTGTTAATTTCATCACAATTTCCCGCAGACAAATCCGAGGTCGCCCTTTTCCAAATTAGAGATATTCAGCCGAATTTTGACATCCACTACCGCTACCATTAGCCAATCAGATCCGTTTAATCTGCCTGATGAACCAATCAAATGCGTATTAAGCCAGTAAATAAACAACCTCGTTCCCAGGCTTTTCCCTCTTCTGGAGGAAAGACCCTGGCTGGGGCTGGTCACGTGCCACGCAGATTCTGCGTGGTAAAATAAAAATTTCCTATGGGTAGGGTGGTAGAGATCTGAACCTTTATAAACGGTAGTGGTAGTGGTCCATATCTCTAACTCTCAAGATGTTAGGAATGTAGTCGCATTTCAGAATGGTTTAACTCAACAATGTTTTGAAGAGCAAGAATCCTTGATTCAACAATATTTTGAAGATTTGGAGAACACGTTGCGACAATTCAAAATTTTTAGTCGTGTCTGACTGGTACGCCAATGATTGTTGCTCCGTACTGTACTTGAGCTGGTTAAAACTTAAGACTCAAGATGTACTTAGTCTTCAAAGTGAAGTACATGCATAAAACACAGGTTTCTAAAAGGTATTCATTCAGTAATCTGAAAAGTTATAACAAGTAACACAATGGCAATATACACAATATACAAACACTAAAATTGACTCTAACATTCCTTGGTCCAATCATGTTTCATGCCAAGCATTGTCAGACATGTATCGACTATCGACTTAATTATGGTTTTGAATACCTTGGGTTTGGAAAGTCATATGACACCAGTAAAATGTAAGTACGCAGATAGCAAGAGTTGCGCGTACATACATACGTGGTACTTAAAACAAAGACCTACCAGACCATAATATTGGCGTGGCTCAGGTACTTAGTAAGCACGCGCAAATTATCGCACCCTGCCCTTATACTATCGAGGCTGCGTGCCCCCCTACCGTAACTTTTGCAGCCACGTAGTTAGCCTACCTCATCAGGAGCAATGACCAATTTAAAATTCAACAAATCATCTGGATCTGGAAATTCAATCTTACATGTCTTTGGTAAACTGAGATCATTAATATCTGAAATTACAAATAAACATTATTAATATATTTCTCTTTCTTCATCAGAATATCACACGGGGCCGGTTGTCCAAAGCTGGATTAGCGCTACAACCCTGGGTTAAAATGTAACAGCTGATTTGGCTTGTGCATTTCTGCTTAAACTTGAATAAAACTTCTGTTGATCTAGCCAAGATTTATAGAAAATTATCTCCATGTTGACAAATAAGCTCTTGGGAAGATTACTTCAATGATTCTTTCAACCGTCCGACCATTGGAATTGACATGCGGCTTTCATATCAATGATGACATTTAAACCCGACTGAGGATACCGACGCATAGTCCGCTTTGTACACATATTATTATTATGCTTAAAAATGTCTTTTGGAATCCACATGATTATATTATGGTCCGATGGAGCAAAAATGTGGAGCAAAAATGTCTGGTGTTTTATAAAAGGGTTTCAAGTTCGTAATAATATAGTCTAAGATTGGATCTTGTCTAGTCAGGCGTGTGACGACTTGCTTAAGGTTGTGACCTATAACTAAATCCTGTATATTGAGATGAGTCGCCTAAAACGACTATGCCACAATCAGGGTATTTAGAGCGTATAGTATTAATTGAGGACACAAGGTAATTGCAAAGTTCTCTCTGTTCTTGCACACTTTTGTCCGGTGGATTATACACTACACATACTGCGATTGCAGATAACGGTCTCGGTAGGCGTGGTGGTCGAGCCCACGACCACATACACTCTAGATTTAAATCTTCTAATTCCAAGTATTGCGTGGATGGGTATCTACTGAGACACATAAACGCAGACTCCACCCCCACGGCCATGCGTCCGGTCCTTACGATGAATTACATACCCAACAATCGATATTTGATCGTCCCCTATCTCGTCAGTCAACCAAGACTCCGAAATTGCAACCATATGAACTTTGTTGACGGACATAAATGCTGCAAGTTCATCAACTTTCCCATTAATTGAGCGTGCGTTCAAGCAGCAAATTTTCTAGAGTATAGCTTTATTTTGCTTTTGGGTTTTATCATTATAATTATTTGTGCATGTAATACGGGTTAGATTGTTATAATTGACACCCCGCGTCCCCTTTACACGAGCCCGGGTTGACTATCAACCCGGGTTGGCTTGCCAGCCCGGGTCAACCCGCCTACGAATACATCTTTATTAGCATTTACACGATAGCCGGGTCAACCTTTCACACCTCGCCAACCCGGGGCACCCTAGCTTCTACGCGGGGTGTTAATTATAACAATCTAATCCGTATTAGATGCACAAATAATTATAATGATCAAACCCAAAAGCAAAATAAAGCTATACTCCCGAAAATTTGCTGCTTGAACGCACGCTCAATTAATGGGAAAGTTGATGAACTTGCAGCATTTATGTCCGTCAACAAAGTTCATATGGTTGCAATTTCGGAGTCTTGGTTGACTGACGAGATAGGGGACGATCAGATATCGATTGTTGGGTATGTAATTTATCATAAGGATCGGACGCATGGCCGTGGGGTGTGCGTTTATGTGTCTCAGCAGATACCCATCCACGCAATACTTGGAATTAGAAGATTTAAATCTAGAGTGTATGTGGTCGTGGGCTCGACCACCACGCCTACCGAGACCGTTATCTGCAATCGCAGTATGTGTAGTGTATAATCCACCGGACAAAAGTGTGCAAGAACAGAGAGAACTTTGCGATTACCTTGTGTCCTCTATTGATACTATACGCTCTAAATACCCTGATTGTGGCATAGTCGTTTTAGGCGACTCATCTCAATATACAGGATTTAGTTATAGGTCACAACCTTAAGCAAGTCGTCACACGCACGACTAGACAAGTTCCAATCTTAGACTATATTATTACGAACTTGAAACCCTTTTATAGAACACCAGACATTTTTGCTCCACATTTTTGCTCCATCAGACCATAATGTAATCATGTTGATTCCAAAAGACATTTTTAAGGATAATAATAATATGTGTACAAAGCGGACTGTGCGTCGGTATCCTCAGCCGGGTTTAAATGGCTTTGGTTCATGGTCAACCAGCTGGTTTAGTGGACTTGGATTCAATCCATCGTCGGATGAGTTAGCGTCATCTTTTACCAATAGTCTGAACACTGCAATCAAACTTTTTTTCTTTGTCACCACAGACATCTCGCGGCGATCCTGAGCGATCGACGGCTAGAAATTTCATACCTTCGGTTCAGTCCATGCTATGAAGACAGAAATACCACCAATCGATTCAGAAATAAAAGATCTACTAGTTCCAAACGATAGTTATAGTCATTATTAACATTGTAACGATTTATGGGCCTTTGAAAGTCAAACACGATAATATTGTATCAAATTACGCAATTGTCTGAACAAAATATAGACTAGCCATACCTTTCGCTGAAAATAACTTCGGCCCCTTCGCACATATCGTCTTTGTAATAGTCTTGTTCGAATTCCCATCAAAAACACTATTTAGAGTGTTATTTGCAAGCCTGTATCTTCAAATCTGTATCTTTTATCAATATATTTCCATTTCTTGTCCGACTGTGAGCTCGAAGTGAGTTACAGTGTTTCCACAACGCATCATTGAAATTTCCTTGATTTTGCTTTAAAATTTCCTTTAATTTCCTTGAAATAGGATGTAATTTCCTTGAAATTTCCTTGATTAACCGAAGTATATTTCGGCAACTAGAATCATTAATACTTATATAAAGTAAGACAGAAACAGAAAGGTACATTTCTTTCGTACAACTCTTTAAAAACAAAGCCTTTACATAACAATTTTGAAAGCTTTAAAATGTAAAATACCAGAGTTTTAATATTGTTCTCAACGTTAACTGAGTCAACGAATTCTCATGACAAATAAATTCATATAAGTTCGCATGACAGTAGCCTGCGAACAGGCTCTCAAGCTGAATTGAGAGCCTGCATCGATGACTAATGAATTTGAATATCTGCCCCGTAACGTTCGTTTTTCCAAATATGGAATGTCTATCCTTATATGGTGTTGTTTACAACTTTCGTGCACACTAAATTTAGACCGTGCAAACTAAATTTAGAACGTACAGTTTATGCTGTTTTTCGAAATATAAGATATTCAAGCAAAAGTTCAAATGTTTTAAATACTATTTTCTCAAAACAGAACATTTCGTGCTTTGGGATAAGACGGCCAAGACCAATTTGATCAGTTAATGTGTTTTTTATGCATAGTGCTTCAGCAGTTGACATATATAGAGCTCAGCAGAAACATATAAATTATAGCATCAGACCAATGAGAATTTCGCGTCACGATTTGAGACGTAGATATTCAAATTCATTAGTCATCGATGCAGGCTCTCAATTCAGCTTGAGAGCCTGTTCGCAGGCTAGCATGACAGCTACCCTGGATTCCAGAGCCTTCGACAGCAGTAGCGTAGCCAGCCCAACGATTTAGTCCCGCTATGCAAATATTTTCGTGTTCATTGACTGTGAAAACAATCAATTTCTAAAGAAATGAATAATGATAATAATTTTGAATTTGCATAGCGGGACTAAATTGTCGGGCTGGCTACGCCACTGTTCGACAGTAAATAATAAATTGAAACGTCGGCTTACGTCGCGAAGGCTCTGGTTCAACGGGAAGATGAATAAACCGAATCAAAGATGAATAAACCGCGCCAATCACAAAACAGAATTAGTGGTTTTAGTACAGAATCTGTACTAAAAAACACTAATTCTGTTTTGTGATTGGCGCGGTTTAATCAAAGAATCTTCCCGTTGAACCAGAGCCTTCGCGACGTTTCAATTTATTATTTACTGTCGAAGGCTCTGGAATCCAGGGTACATCATTGTCATTGAAGGGGTACATGACAGCCAACCTGTGCAGCTAACACGTGGTGGCCTGCACGCAGCACGCTACCTACCTAAGATTCAGGTTGTGTGCAGCCTACTTACTTAGTTTCATTAATAATTTTAGATTCCACTGACTCGGTCACAGGCTCCGAAAGAGGTTTTTTTATTTTTGCACGCGGACATATTGGTTATGAGCAAAGGAAAGTAATATAATTTAAAATTAATGAAAGGTTCATCTTCAAAACATTTCAGTTCAATCAGTTGATTTAAAAATTCCTTAAATTTCCTTAGAATTTTCAAAAATTCCTTAGATTTCCTTGATTCCTTTTTTTTCCTTGAAACGTCTTTTTTCGATCAAAATTTCCTTGAAAAAGGAAATTTCCTTGAAAGTGGAATCACTGGTGAGTTAATCCCAACCGGAAATACGTCTGAAAACCGTCAAAACAATGCGACGTTTGTATTGTATGACCCTGGAAGGCCAGAAATGGTTCGCAAGGTCAAATTGCACCTACACGCGTGAGTTTGACGTCATACCGGCCAAGAGGAGCTTCTTATTGGCTAATTATTGCGCAATGTACGCAAGTGCGAGTAAAACCCGACATATTGAAAAATTCAAAATAAATATTTCTTGTCGGCGTATACATACGAAACTTTCTACACGAAAGCGCTTGGATACAAAGGGTATTTTACACATATAGCCGTTCAGAAAATGACGAAAAGTTCAAGAGATATTCAAGATCTTGTAGATATGAAATCTAGAATCTTTGGCCAAGCGGTAAGTAAATATATGATTGTTTCGGTTTGTGTAATGCCCCGTTCGAAAGGATATTTTATGAGGATTTCAATGGTGCGTTTCATTTACAAGGGGGGTAAATACTCGCCGAGAATTTATATTAGAAAAATTGTGTCCTAATCTTTATCTGATGCGAAGGGGGTGGTCGAAAAGAGTAATTAAAGAGCGCCAACGTGCTTTTCATTTCGGCGACGCGCAATTGTTGCGTCAATACAGACGGAGGGTCCAGATAGAGATTAAAACCAGAAAAAGCCGTAACTTCTATACCCAAAAAATCTATCACGTGCGAAACAACGATGTCCGTCAATGGTGGCACACTATTAACACAATGCATGTAAAATAATTTTCTGGCACACGCCCCCCGTGGAAATCAGCTACGGTTGACGGGGTCAGCGTGGATAAATAAAGTTCTACTACTACTACTAATATCAGGCCGAGCGAAAAGTCAATTAACCTCAGTTTACAATCGAGCGTGACGGACACTTATTATCGGAAGGAGAACGGGCAGAGTCTCTAAATGACTACTTTTATAAATGTAGCAAGTGATATCCCACCACTTGATATTCCAAGCCTTCCAACATTCTTACCAGCTGCGGTGCCGTCTCCTACAGTTTATCCTCATGAGGTTTGTAGTAAGCTCTTAAAACTTCAGACTAATAAGGCTATGGGCCCGGACAGTATTCCACCACGAATTTTAAAAGAGTTTGCCTACGAACTTGCTGAGCCAGTTACATCAATATTTAATACATCTTTGTCCTCTGGACTTATAACATCATACCCATTCCGAAAGCGAAACAAACTTAGGTTGAGAGCAATACCCGCCCCATCGCATTTACCCCTGTGTTATCGAAAGTACTCGACAATTTTGTGATTAGTTGGATAGTTGAGGACATAGGCGGACAAATCAATATTCGTCAGTATGGCAGCCTGAAGGGAACATCCACCACCAATTGTCTTCTAGATTTTATCCACAACTGGCTTTCTAAAATGGACAACCCAGGTCATTACCTTGGAGCTTGCTTTCTGGGCTTTAGCAAAGCTTTCGATAGAATAGACCACAATATCGTTATAACAAAATTGATCGATTTGGGAGTGTGCCGTTCAATAATCCCTTGGATTTGTAGCTTCCTTTCAAATCGCCACCAGTGTGTTAAGCTGGGACAGTGCGTGTCTCGATCGCTTTCAAGTAGTGCTGGGGTCCCACAGGGAACAAAATTGGGTCCAATCCTTTTTGTCATGATGTTTAATGATTTGAGAATAATATCCCCGCGTTCTAGTAATTGGAAGTACGTAGACGACGTGACGATATCTGAGATTTTCCCAACAAGGGAAGTATCTATACTACAAAACGAGTTGGACGCAATTGGTGATTGAAGTACCAATAATATGAAATTGAACCACCAAAAGTGTAAAAAGATGATTGTCTGCTTTCGACGAGATATTGAGCAGCCACCACCCACCTTTGTTGTTGAAAACATGCGTCTTGAAAGAATAGAATCCCACAAAGTGTTAGGTTTAACGATCCAGAATAATCTGAAGTGGGATTTGCATATCAGTGAGATAGTAACCAAAGCATAAAAAAGAGTAGACATCTTACGAGTTCTCAAGCGCAGTGGAGTTTCACCGTTTCAAATGCTACGAGTATATTTTGCACTTATTAGATCCCAGCTCGAGTACTGCTGTCCGGTATGGCATTCATCATTGATCATCAACTTGTCAGATAAAATTGAACGGGTCCAGAAGCGCACAATGCGAATAATTTATCCTACATTAAGCTATGACGCAGTTCTGGACCAAACAAAATGTTCGACATTACGCGCAAGACGTAATGCTTTGTGCATAAAAACGTTTGACAAAATGAGACAGCCTGATTCACGACTTAATCATTCAATACCACCTTCTCGCGGGTCAATGAACACAATTGCAATTTAAGGTACGAAAATAGACTAACACTGTTTCCTTGTAAGACGGAGCGCTTTAAGGAAAGCTTTTTTCCTGCAATGTGTAATCAATCACATAATGTAAATATAAAAGTACTTTTATGTTCCGATATTAATTCATAGATCCGTAAAACAATGGTTGTAATATAATGCCTGTAATACAAGGTACTTTTTAATATTTTAAAGTACATTTTGTAAATAATTTCGCAATTCGCTTTCGAGCGCGATGATTTTATAATAAACCCTTAATAATAATAATAATAATAACAAACTCATAATGTGGTAAATGCGCCCAGCAGTGAACAGACTTGATATGAAATCTGATCTTAATTTACCTGTATGTCAATGAAACGTTTAATTAATATCTGTCACCTCTGATTGCTCCTCTTCTCAGTTCCATTCACAACTCACTAGTCGCTGCTAGTAATCACTGTGCTTGATATAATTTGTGCTGTTTTACTGTAGTTCTATTTGCTTTTAATGCCCGCAGCAATCCCTACCTTGCAGGTGCCCTATAGCTAGTTACTAAATTTATAAGGTGATCAGAAAACTGAATTTGGCAACACCGAACCCAAGCCTTGGATTTCCATTTAGTAACACGCGAATTTCCATAAACTTTACCGTTGACACTCGACACAGTGGACACTGGACACTATAGATGCCGGACGATCACAGACCACTTGCGAAAAAATTATCGTTTTGATATGGGACCTGGTTATCAAGGGCGAATCACATGAAACTGCTGTAATAAATCAATTCATTACCATTGATTATAAATTCATATTTCAAAAAATGTCCAAAAAATTGGAAAAAAAACCCCGTTTTCTCAAACTTTACAATAAAAGCAGAGAAAAAAAATGCACTATTTGGTAAAATGTTTCTAGAATTTGGTAAAAACCGCTGGGAAATTTTGTCACACTGTCGGTAGACATGGTTGTAGACGTTGTACGTGCTACTGTACATCAATTTTTCAGAAAATATGAGACAAATTAACGAGGGGCAATCACTGAGCTATGCTATATTATAGCTTAGTACATGAGGGCAATTACTATCTTTAAATCACGTACGTACACGCTCATAAAAATCACAAAAATTTCAAAATAAATAAATCAACAAAAAAATTTAAAAATCGCATGATTAATCGAAAGGCAATACATGCGGAGGATAGGCATGTCCCGATTGTGCTCGGCAACTTTTGAGCAACTTTTTGCGTTTGGAGCAACTTTTTTCGGTTCGAGCAACTTCAAGCAACGTTTTCCTTTTAGAGCAATTTTTGAGCAACTTTTCACTAGAGTTCAAACTTTACAGTATGAAATGTTTACATGTGATAGACAACTTCATTGCTTCTCACGAGCAAATACCCTGGGTAGGAAGTTGCTTCATTTTCTGTGATATTTTTCTGTCTTACTTTTTAATTTTTTTATGACCTTTGTTTTGTTATTTGTAAAACTTTTGTATAGAAAACGTTTTCTCTTTATAATTCCAAACAATTTATCCGGGCCTACAGAAATTGTATAAAGCTTTTAATTAATTAACGTCAGGGTTTATTTTAAGAAAAAAATTAGAACTGCGCATACTAGGGATGTTTGACTGAGGGTCAAAGGGTGTTTGGCTGAGTGGTCAAAGGATTTTTATCTATATTTAATGTTAATGATACACTCTTAGTTGGTATATAGGTGGCAGAATAAATGTGTGGTTGGGTGGGCCAGACAAACTCGATTCTGGTTGGGTGAGGTACAGCTAAGGGTTCCCTCCCCCAATTTTGAATTTAGAGGCTCGTAGGTTCTGGCAAAGATTTGTTTCACCAAACCACCACAAAAACTGTTTCAAAACATGCAACTGGGAATCATGAATACTCAATATATAATAACCTTAGGCAGCAAAGAATATTAGGTTCCGTCCCACTCTAATTTCTTTTGGATAGCTACGCTCGCCCCAATTTTACCTCCTGTCCATTACCCATGCACGTACGTCCTCTCCCAGAAAACGTTTAGATTTTTGATGCCCAATGACAGCATTTCTGGCATTTGGAGCATCCACAAGGAAAACGAGTAAATGAGAAGACTGTTTTGAGATTATATTTTTGTTAATTTGGTGACTGCACATTTGAGTTTTAAGAACTGCCCAAATGGGTTTAGAACTGCACTTTTTGTGTAAAACTGCACGTTAAAATAAACCCTGATTAACGTATGTCGTGAAATTAACGTAATGAGTACAAACGTTTTTGAACTATTTTAGTAGCAACTTTTTTTATTTCGGGAAACTTTTGAGCAACTTTTATATGCTTTTTAGAGAGCAACTTTTTTGTTTTGGAGAGCAACTTTTTCGGATTTTATGAGCACAATCGGGACATGCCTAGCGGAGGAGGCTAACAAATCACACGATTTTTTGATCTCACACTTGCACACCTTTTAGGAGTGATTTGCCCTTCGCAAATTGACCACTTGCGTAGTCACGTAATATACTAAGTTTTGATCTAGACAAGCCTGGACAAAAATTTCATCACAGCTTGAAAGAGCATCCAAAGTTTTGTTGCGAAATGTTGTAAAATGCGGATAATATAGCCCTGCGAAGTTTGCAATTTTCAGTCGTTTTAGATTACAAACGGGAAATTGACAGCCCCATACAAAACTTTCGGAATATTACTAATTTGGTAATGCTCTTTCTAGCTGTGAAGAAATGTTTGTCTAGACTTGTTTAGATAAAAAAACCTGGTCAATTAAAATCCCAAAGATATCAAATCAAAACGTGCTTATTCTTGTAACAAAATACAACAATGATTCATATGCGGGGTTTTGTGACGCATTTGAATTCACCTCTCTGGAGGAAGGGATAAAGTGATAATAAGTCCTGTCAATGAATTGAAATAGATGGAATAAAAATACGCAATACCCAATATATAAAACATTAATTGACACAGTGCCAGTGGTGTATTTCAAAATATTAAGTGTGAGAGAATCAGAAAATCATACCCGGTTTCAGTCTAGCTTGCGCTACTGACTCTTCCACAGTCCCTAACACTGCTTTTAACGCAAAGGACCGTCAATTCCCATCAATCAGCGCGCGTTGGGTAATTCAACGCGCGTTAGGTAAGCGACTGGGGACGAGTCAGCTTGCGCTATTCATTGACGAAGTCATTGGTTGTATGAAACAGACGAAAGCAGTCGATTGGGAAATATTATCGGGAAACACGTATATCAAATTGATTGAAGACATACTGTTTAAACTATATATAAGTTGTCGTTGATCAAGGCCGTCACACTGAAACGTTTAATTAACAAACGAAGGAATACACTTTCGAAGTAATTGTACGAAAATATGAATACCGTAGTGTCACTCGCTTTCTTGTTTGTCGTGTCAGTTTATGGAGCACAAGGATTCCAATGCATTTATTGCGACTGGGCACAGTGTGAGAGTATAGAGTCGTTGAAACGACGATGCAAGGGCGGTCTGGTATACGGTTTATGCGGGTGTTGCTTGGGATGTGGCAAAGTTGAAGGCGAAAGGTGCAGGGAATATTTTACCAGCACTGCATGTAGCCCAGGTCTGTTCTGTAAATATCATAAACCTTATTATGATGGTGTGTGGTGGTGGAGCTCGCATTATACTTGCGAAAAACGCACTTCAAGTGCCAAAGCTATAGCAGAGGTAAATATGGAACGGCGTCCATGCTTTTTATGCGTGTAAATGGATACAAATTTTCTTTTGATTAGCATTTTAAACCTTTTTGTTTGATTTTCTCATTATATTCGATTGCATTTCGTGCACCTAGCAGTAAACAGACTTGATATGAAATTAGATCTTAATTTACCTGTATGTCAATGAGACGCACATGTTTAATATCTGTCAGCTCTGATTGCCCTTTAACCCCTGGTCTTTGCTACTACAATATATATTGCTTCTTCTCAGTTCCATTCACAGCTCACTAGTCGCTGCGAGTATTAATCACTGTGCTTGATATAATTTGTGCTGTTTACTGTAGTTCTATCATAGGAATCCCAATAAATATACCTGGTGGTGCAAAAAAAAGTACGGCAGTTTGATTCAGCACGACTCAAGCACTAAAAGAGCTATTACACTTAAATACGTCACCGTATATTCTACGATGTTTAACTTAAATTTTGATATATGTCTTGTACCTTTTCATGCAATATTGGCTGAGATAACTGTGCTTAAACGTAAGCAAACACTATTGGAACCGCCAAGAATTTTAAAACTGAAAAGGACGCTATTAAAACAAATTGAATAACCGTTACAATTTTCTCGCAATTATTGTTCAATTAGTGGGTTGGTTTGACGAGGTCATGCAGGCATTTTTCTGGGTCCACACTTTGTTGAATGAAATCTCAACACGAGAGAGTATCTCCGAATCATACGCCGACAACGTTGTACAGTCGGAGACATTCGTGTTCATAATATCGATAGGGATAACATGTGGCAGCAAATGAACAGCAACTGATCCAAAAATTTTTCGATTGTATGATTTCACGGGCAAGACGTTGCATTCGTGCTGGCCGGGACTGGCCCGGGAGACATGCATTTGCTGATAAATAGACGTTTGTTTTTTAACCATAAGCGTGAACGTCAGAACGTGCTCGCTATAAGAGCATAATGCATCTCAACAGAAGTTATTGTTGTATTAATATTTAATAAGCCATTTTTAGCTAATTTGGTCAGTTCCAAAAATGTTTACTCCTGCTTAAATGCATGTATCTTTGATAATATGGCATCGAAATGAGCATGGCATATATCAAAATTTAAGTTGAATATCGCTGAATCACATTAAACTTGTTTTAGTGTTATTGCTCATTTAGTTTTGATTTTACTGCAATTCAAACAGTCGTACTTTTTTGCCCCACCCGGTAGTTGTAGCAAATAAAAAGCGTTAAAATTGTCTAATTTTGAATGAATTTCATTGCGGTAATACAATGCAAATTCATTCAAAATTAGACAATTTTAACGCTTTTTATTGCTGCCGAGCCTCAGCGAGGCAGCACACTATTCTCGACGGTACCAGTTTCCGCGCGCCGAGTTTAGTAGACCAGCTTGAATCTCGATTTTTTGAGTTTGTATGTCAGCAATTCAGGGGGGTTACGGAAATTAATTACGCTTGCCGGGCGCACAGGAAGTAGTGACAGGAAGATGCACATGTGTTTCTTTCATATCTTCAAATACACAACCTGATTCTGAAGCAATCTACAAATTATGGCAATTGTTATCCGAGGGAACACTAATCAAGGCGATGACTGTTTTGATGTTAAGTCTAGAGGTAAACGGTGTGCCTTTAATAGTTTACTGGGGCTCTCGAACGCATTAAAAACAAGAGATAATCAGCTGATCTATTGTTTCTATATAAAATGTTTCGGCACATGATAAGCTCGACGTTTGAAATTAAAGTATAGTATTTTATTATAAGGCGACAAAATGTATTAATAAAAGCGATGAATAATCTTATCACTTGATTCACTTGCTACCGGGTGTTGTGTATTTGTCCGTGAGAGACCTACGAAAACTTGTTATTGTATCGTGTTTGTAGAATGAGTTCAATTTCGATATTTGTTGTCGATTTGAGCAAAATATTGATTCGCCTACTGAGGCACTCAGCATTGAACCGCCAATTGTGGTGAGTGATACTAAACTGCCTGTTGTGGTGAGTGATATTGAACCGCCTGTTGTGATAAGTAGCACTGAATTGCCCATTGTGGCTCAGAAAAAAATGTATCTGCCCTGTCCTGCCGACTCAACAAATAATCTCCTTAATGTTTTAAATAAAACACCAAATGTCATGACAACAAATAATGAGGAAGTAATTTGTGAAATTGACTACAAACAAGAACAGCAGGGGCTTGTGATCATTGATGAGGAAATTCTATCATGGAAAACCATAGCTGTCTTAAGTGATCAAACGTCATTTTGTTGGGTGCTTTTAGCATTATACTCGGTTCTTTCGGCATTATTTGCGGTGCTTTCGCCATTATACGCGGTGGTTCAAGCATTATACGCGGTGGTTCGAGCATTATACGCGGTGGTTCTAGCGGTGGTTCTAGCATTATACGCGGTGATTTCAACATTATACGCGGTGCTTTCGCCATTATACGCGGTGCTTTCGCCATTATACGCGGTGCTTTCACCATTATACGCGGTGGTTCGAGCATTATACGCGGTGCTTTCACCATTGTACGCGGTGCTTCCAACATTATACGCGGTGCTTTCGTCATTATACGCAGTTAGCGTTACGCGCGGTGCTTTCACCATTATATGCG